GCTTTAACGTATGTCTATAAAGATCAGAAAAATATATTTCCTAAGTCCAGCAGTTTTCAAACAATATATTTTCAAGTTACAGGAATGCTCACCATGAGGAATTTAAAATTGAGGTGATAACAGGGGGGACAACATTTCTTCTAAAATGTTAATGAGCTACTGCCTTATAAAGTGAAAATAATCAACAAATCTGACATATGAACAAACACTATGAATATTCAGGAAGTTTAAGCTGCTGATTTAACATTTTCTAAGAGTGTACAACTTTTGCACTGATCACATAAGCCATTATTTTTTCTTTTCATCATAAGTACACTCTACTGTGGTGTCGGTGTGTTGTTGTAACATATGCATTGAATTGCAAGTATTGTAATTCATCCAGATGGCAGGAAGCTTTGGAATTGTTACTCCTATGGTACAGATGTTTAACAATCTAGCCATATGGCTCCAATAAGGCAGCCTTTTCAAAGATTACAAAAACTACACTAGAAATGCAGCCTTGTAAATTTGAGTGCAATCCTGAGGTATGAATGTTCATACCGCTACAATATAAAAGCATACATCATACTATGAAGTTGGCATGTCTATTGGAATTACAGAATTTATGAAACATTATTTAAAATCCTGAAAAGAATCAGGTCCCAAATTTGCATAATTTCACCAAGTCAGTTATTAAAAGAACATTCCTTATTTATTTTTGAAATTCATTAAAAGTGTCAGACATAGGCTAGCTGAAAAGATGGGTAAATAAGTACACGCAAACATAATAATGTCCCTAACCTCTGGCTCGAGTGAACTACCGCTGTAGGTGACAAATTGAGATTCAACCAGTGAGACCAAGAATTTCTCTGTAAAAAGATTTGTCAAAGTCAAGGAGCCCTGATGATGGTTGTGGCAATTGTAAAGTGAAAAGCTGAATGTTGAGAAACAATCTGAGATCAATAACACCTTGGCCAAGAAAGGAAAACCATGAAATGGTCAATCTATAACCCTACTGAATTTTGGCAGGTTTGAATGACAGATAAATGGCAGCAAATAAGATTGTTAAATCACTAATCCTGTCATTATTACATCCTGTCACATTGCATAGGTTTATACATTAGAAAAAGAGTGTAAAGTATGAGAGTGAAAAATACAACTGTTAAAAGCTAAAATATCTCAATCTATGACAAAGTTAATTCTCAACTTTGTGTTTCATGGTTGTTTTTTTTCTGCCAAAAAGTTGGATATAAGCAGATGCTGCTAGAAGTCCCACCTTCCTTTTCTCTGATGCTTGGGTCTCTGACCCTTTGTTACCTAGAAGAAACATCTCTTTTATATAAAACTGTTGTGCAAGAATAAGATTAAAATGGACAGACTGAACAAAGCATTGGTCTCTCAGACAAAAATGTATCCATTTAGTACACAGGGGAACTTTCCACCTGACATATTCTTAAAAGGAAGTATTCAATTATCATCTACTCAAAGGGTAAAAATCACGAAAAAGCCATGTAATATTCCTGTTCTTTTTCTTTTCTTTGAGCAGCAAAGTATTCAGAGGTGCTTTATCTACCACAGATACTAATCTAGGCAATATAATTTTAAAACATCCTTATGAAAACCTTGAAGGGCAGTTGAACTCTGTGGTTGTTTAAAAAAAGATTTTCTGCAGTTTATGCTTTTGCTCTGCAAAAATCTTACCTTAGCATACAAAGTATAGTAAATCCTAGTTGCTCTGATTTACTACCCAGACTATGCTGTTTGTTTTCAGGGACAGCTCAGTGAAAAGCTATGTCATGTATAAGAACATTCAGAGAAGGGGAATCGTTTTGCAAAACTACCAGAATGGTAGCAACCATTTCTAAGACATCAATGGAAAAAAAATGCAGATGTGCATTTGCAGCATTTTTCAGGTGGTATTTTTTGAATACCATTACAACCCAAAAATATTCCAAACCCTTTATAGGCACACGGACAATTTCATTCCCCAAAAGTGTTTAGCCTAAGTACTAATGGGCTGGCCAGATGTATAACTTACCAGTCAATAATCTAAATTATTTGACCTTGTGCCTGAATTCCACACTTTATGGGGCAGTAGCATATAGAGATCTCAGAAAGGCAAAGAAGACATCAGAGAAAAAGTGGCAGAACAAGAAGCTCTGGGTCAACCTGATTATTTAGAACCTAATTATTTAGACCTAATCCATTTAGTAAGTCCCAACAGGAGGACAAAGATAAAAACATGTATCCGACATTCCTTTAAAAAATGGTAAATGAGTAGGGATAAGATCAAAACAGTAGCTGAAAGCCTTCACTCCTGCTTTAAAATCCAAGAAACAGTCATTAATAGAGATTTAAACTCAGCCTCCTCTAGTCTAAACATGTCACTGTTAATTACAAAGCTATTTAACTTTTACAAGAAATAAAGACTGCTATTAATGAAAGAAGAACCAATTAGCCTTTAATCTACACACTGTTTTTTAATCAAACTTTCTTTTGATCATCAGACTCACTGCAGGATATATTCTCTCCTCCCCATGTAGTAGTGGCTTCCATGATTGCTAATGGAATAGATTTAAAAGGGCTGGCTGAGTGGGGAGAACTTTCTCGGCAGGGCTGGAGCTTCCTTCCCATCATGTCAGTGGGGCTTAGCGGAAGCATGCTCATCTCCGAACCATGCCACCCTATGCCAGCATAGGCAAGTGGAATGGTTTTGATGGTGTCTCCTGATCTCTCTCTTGTAGCAGCTGCCATTAAAGGAGCAGGCACTGAACATGTCTAGAGGAATGTGGGACAGGAGTACTAAACTACCTTGTTAGGAAACAGCAGAAAATATCAGTTTAAAGAAAAGAAAGAAATGGGAAAGGGAAGGCAAGGAAAGAGTCAAAAGCAGAGAGGTGTCACCAGGAATGAAAATGGAATTCACTACTAACTGCAAAGAATGACGAATTTGCTTGTTGGCACAGGAATGTAATGTGGAAAAACAAAACGAAACAAAACTAATGGGACCAGGGCTTGATGTGTTAGAAACAAAAGGGATGAGATGAAAAGGATCACATTAGCTAAACATTGTTGTGCCTTAAAACTGTTGGTTGCAGGGTCAGAGAGTTTCGATGAGGTTTTTTTTGTTTGGTTTGTTGTTTCCTGCCCCCCCACTATCTAGCTACTTGTGGTATCAAAACAATAAGATGAAGTATCTAGAATCAGTCATGACGGAGAACTTCTTCCTTTATGTTATTTCTCTCTCAGCTGCACTTGCTGCTCAGATCTCCCAGGAAGGAGGATAGATAGAAAACGTCCCTGAGGCATGCACTTTGCATTTATGACTATGCAGATAATGAAATGTAACAACTTGACTTTTGCACATGTAAACAATAGAGAGAATGTAAGTATTAGCTGCACTATGTCAAACATGAAACTCCTGGTCTGACCAGATATCTGCTGTCTGTTCTGCATTTGCAAAACTTTGGTATATGGTGTATGCTGCTCTTTCTCCACAACATAAAAGCAAAATTTGCCTGGCAGCAGCAGAACTCTTGAGTATTAATACTAACAAAAAAGCACTTTAAGATAAATGTTAATATCCTCAAAGAATCAGAAAGTCTGCAGAGATCTCCTGTTGTTGCAACCAGTATGGCAATTAAAAAATAAAGAATAAGAAAATCAATAGATTGCAGAGAGAAAACTGAAAATAAGTATGTTCTGTGCCAGACAGGATTTTGAGTCACAAAATTCAAGTTGTATTCACTAAAAGCATGTGGGACAACTGCTGAAATGATATTGACATTTGAGAAATTTAAAGGTAAGTACATAATTAACATAGGAAGGATTTTAGCAAAGACAATAGGTTACATTAAATGATTTTTCAGGATTTCAGTAGCAGCACTTTGCACTTCAAAAGATCAACTAATTACCCTCTCTGTAAAATAAGGCTAAGTCTAATGCCTTACCTCAAAGGGCTGGTGATTTTTCACTGTCCAAAGCCCCTTTAAAGTAACTGTTTGGCATAAAGGTCATTTAAAATAAGATTAGGGTCCATTTATGGTTTTGAGATGATCATATATTACAATATAAGTACAATATAGGTAGTTCTATAAAAACAACAACAGAACTATATGGAAATAGCTTTAAAGCACTGTGTCAAGATACTTAAAGTTAACTGGATAATTGTATCGTTTTCACATTTAAATTATTCTATGGCATTCTAAACTTGTCAATAAAATTTGGATTCTGATGCTGACCAAAACATCCTTGTGTTTTTCTTGTGTCATAATCCCATTCTAACAGGATGCAGACAAGTGATCCCCAGCTCCACTCTCCTTTTGAGCAAAGCGTAGTAAATGTATTCTGTCTTAGAATACTTAGAAAGCTGTAATACCGAAAAAACATGACAGTCATGTACAGGATGTTTTTAGTTAACAAAGCTCTTAGGTGTTGCTGAAAGATTCCTTTCACTTTTTATCCTGCTCAGACTGACCTAACACACTGCAAAGCTTTTTATTTAGATATACAGTGCAATTAGGACAAAGTTCTGCTGACATTGTGAAGCCTTAAGAAGAGCAAAATTATTGACAGGAACTGTGTGAAACGCAATGAGATTTTAACTGTTCTTATCTGAAGTAAGAAGTTTCAAAGTTAAGAGGCAGAAACTTTACTCTGCTTCTTAAACTATGTAATAGTTTATTCCTAAGAGTGTTCTCATTTCCACTAATTCTTTAACATTAGTGCATACTTCCATAAATTACTCCCCAAAGTAAGGTCTGATTCACAAAAGCACTCAGGAGCTTGATTAACTCCCTCCCCAATGACTTCAGCAAAATTTTGCTTAGGTGTTTGAAATGCACATACCTGAAATGGCCTGAAATGTACTGTATCTGCAATTCTGACTGAAATCAGTGGGACCTGAAGGTTCTGAGCAGCTCTGAAAATCAGCACTTAATACTATTACTGCAATGTATCTTTAATTTGTCTACAGCTCCTCCAAAAATTACTTTTAATCTGAATCAAAGCTTTGTACATACGTATACAGTAGTCTCCACTTTCGTAATATCCAGGGCAGCACTGAGATCTTCGCCGATACATAGTTCTTAGTCCTCTTCGATATGCTGTTTTATAACTTATTCTAAATTACAAGACAGAAAGCCATTTGACAATATTGAAAATCAATACCTACTGTTGGAATTATATTTGTGTTAAATTATAGTAAGGATAGCATTCAATAATTATTTTAAAATGCATGAAAGCTTTTGATATTAAAAGCCATAATTAAAAAAAAGCCAATACTTGTTTTGAAACTTGAAATATAATGTGTATTATAAACACAGTACTCATGACAATCACCATAGCCCTTCCTACGACTGCTATCTTAAAATGTTTCCCCAGTCCTCAAGCAAGGGCAAGGAGTGTCTTCAAGAATAAATGATTCATTTCTGCATATCAGCAAGGTCAGTTCTCATCAATGGAATGAACAGAATCTTCTATGGAGACCACTGTGTCAGCGTGCTACACAAGAAATTACCACAAAGGAAACTGCTCTCAATACACAAAACTTGAAGTTAACCCCAAGTGATTTCTTCCTACTTGCTAATGCTTCCAAGGTACTAATGCCTTGCAAAATGACATCATAGTCCCAGTTCAGTATTTAAAGCGTGTTTTCCCCACCACAATATGTAGTCCACAACATTGATCTCACTCAAATTTCATGCAAAAAATCTCTCTACTTCAATCAATGCCCTAGAACACCAAACAGTCTGGTTATTGTACCAAAATACAAATACATATCTACATCAGAGTACCACAAAAATGTGGATAAATAAAAGGTATGTGAGGAGATAACAAAGGCAAAATAAAACTAAAATTTCTAGGGATTAGCTCTTACCTATGTCTAGTGCACTTGAACCAGTTCAGTATGTCAGTACATCTTGTATAATAGATCTGATCAAAAGGATGAGCATAAGATTCCTGTACTGTCACAGCGTAGCTAGGAGTAGACAAAGAAAGAAAGAAAGTGAAAGACCCTTTGTTGCAACATGAAAAGCTTCGGTTCCCTGTACATGCTACTCATCTAACTCCAGTATGAAAAGTAATTAAATCAATAATCTTAGAAACTTCGGGCATTATTAAAAACCAGAAAAGAGCTTCCTTCAATCACAGCTCTTCCTGAAAATTTTGGAAACACTTCTAACTTGGGCTCCATAACTGAAATAGGCATAGAGATTTCAGTCTGAGTACTAAACCATTCCCTTCTGGAAAAGAAACAAATGTTACTAAAATTAATGATAGTTTAGAAGGTAAAAACGGCATTTGGTTAACCTGCCAGTGCAAATTTTAAAACAGAGGAAAGCACCAAGTTTTTAAAATGTCTCAGTTGCTTTCCTGCCCAGGACTGTTGATTTTTACTCGTATTCTACAACGCTAGTAAGAGCTCATATTAACTTAGCACTGTTCCATTTTGCCAGCATGATGGGATGCTCACACTTCATTTTATAATGAAGCAGCATCATTACTTCAAATATTGGGTGCAGTAATCAAATAGGATCATTTGTAAAAGGTTGAAGAGTGTTTATTTTGCTGCACAAATTTATCCCTTTTAATTTGTAGTAGAAATAACCCCCGAACTATCTGAACATTGTAATATGAGTTAACTGGTATCTAGATTCGGAAGACTTTGACATACAGTTAGAATGGGATTACCTCTCTTTGTATAAATGAATAGATATAAACAAAAACTGGGCAAACTGATTAGAAATCACAGAGCTCCGAAAATACTACGAATTCAGCAATCTCCTTCCCCAAATACTGCTTATTCATACAACAGGTACTATATTTATTACCATGATTCTGTTGAAAAGGTCTGGGCCTCTCACATGATATAGCAACACAAATCTCATTGACTTGTTAGTGTCAATCATTTTAGAACATTGCATTGCCCTATGGTAAGCGTGTGCACTGCTTAAGAGACTCATAATCTCAGGTTCTGATCTGGAAACAAGCTCTACTTCATCAGATCTACAATATCTTTGGAGAATGATACTGAAATCATTCTAGGCAGGGTCAAGACCCAGGAATTAGATCCTCCAAGTCATTCATTATATCGATTGTCTTAATCCTCAAAGGGATTTCCTTCTCATCAGTGGGACTGCTGATGTGATTAAGCCCTGTGAGATTGCACCCGTAAGGTAATACCAAAATATTTGCTTGGAGGGACTCATTGGCTTGAAATCGAAGATTGGACTATTACTGCCCTGCTTGTCATGCCCCTTCTAGACAAGCCACGATTCTACTAGATGTTGCTTTTGCCCTGCATCACAGTTTGCTGGGTTGGACAATAATGTTTTTACTTCTACTAATGCCAAAATGTAAAATATTTACATTGCTCATTATTAATGTAAAACAGTAACACTCACAAATCTTTATTATTATTTTATGATCTCGTTTGTTATCCAGCAATTGCCCTAACAATCTTTTCCCTTTGATTTATTAACAACTAAGTAACAAAGTCATGTCGGCCAGTACAACTAATCAATTTTGGTATTTAATTTTTGTTTCTCCTTGATTGGGTCTCTGGGTTGCTGACTTTCTTCAGACAAAATCAATATTTTATTCCTGTGCTCTGAATGCACTTCTCCTCACAACACAGACTGCAAAATCCTATTCCTGTATAGTCTTTGCTTTGCAGTTGTATTACCTACAAACAGTTAATTCTCTAATTAAGGCTTCTAAAATCAAAACATAGTGCCATTAAAGTATGATTCCATTTTTGCTCTTGTTAAGGGGTTTATTTTGCTAAAGTGTACAGTAATTCACATTTGTGTGGAATTAAACCACAGAACAGAACTGGAAATTTAGCAAGTTAAACTTAAGACTACAGGAATTTTAGCCTCTGCAAGCAGACCCTGCATGAATGTGAACCCTATCAAAGCTGGTGGGTTTCTGTGTACTCGTAAGAACTGTCCTGCACAGATCTACTTTTAGGACTAGGACACTGTAACAATAGACAGAACAAGAATTACCAGGGCCTTTAATTCTCAGTGCTTTCATGTAAATACTCTTTGATGTTGACATGAATTTGGGAGACAGAGCCACAAAGTTCAGGACATACAAAAAAAGCCTGCATGTTGCAGCAGGAAAGGCTTAGAACTTAGTCAAAATCTCTAATAGTCTTGCTTGACAACAACCAGAAAAAAGTAAGACTGAACAAGGGCACCATTTCTCTAGGTCTCTCCATGATAAATGAAAATACATCTGCGCAGTCCTCTAGCTGAAACTACGGAGGAGCTTTCCAATGCACAGCTGAGCGGACAGGTAACACAGGGGTATGTGGCCTATAGCTCTAGCTTTAGAATCAATTCTCCGGGGTGATCCAAATCCTCAAAGGCACTCAGAAGTACTATTTCTGTCACGCAAATCCATGTTCTTTTGTGAGGCAGGGTGGTAGTTAGCAAATTACGGCTCTTATTTTGCCTTTTAAATGTAAAAATCTGAAATGGCTAGTAAAAAAAATAAAATTGGCATGTTATACATTACCTTTCCCAATGACTACAAACATTTGGATCATCCGGGTTCAGGGACAGAGTAGTTTTGAGCAGAAAAGACAGAATCAGCCCTTTTACAATCCATTTGAACAGCATATGCACCACCATTGTTGTATCTAGATAAAGAAATGAAAGTTTAGCCATTAAAGAAAATTTTGAAGAAAATGTCCTTCTAGGCCTTTTCATCCTTGCTTTTGTGCAAATCTAAATAATGTGGAGTTATTTATAGACTGAAACACTTGAAAAAGCAATCAACTAAACAGTAAAATTTTTAAAAAGTGCAAATACATTCTAAAAGGCATTTATACGTTTAAATCTACTAAAACTGATGAATTCGATGATTAAGCTACCCAAGATATTGATAGCCCCAATGATTCTTCCAAAGAACATTTCTGATACCGATCATTTTTACGGCTGTCTGTCTGTGCTGACAAAATAAATAACTGAAGTATTAAAACAATCTATTCTTCCATCAATCTATAGGCAAATGGAAGAATACCCAAATACCTCCTTTGATTTATTTAAATGGGTTTTACATGTGTCAATATAGTAGGCTAGATCTGAGGCGTATGCTTATTATATGACGGAAGAAAAATCAATTCAACTCTTAGATGGGGAATAACTTAGACTGACAGAGGCCAACATATTGGTTCACACAATGCAGAACACTAAACATGAAATAAAAACATTTGCATTGATATTGGAAATAAATTGTATAAAATTCGTTAGGAGTGGTCTCTATCATCTTATAGTTCATCTGTTAAATGTACTGACTTATACCTACTTATTGCTCACTTTGGGCTTTGAAACAAAAGGCGTGGTGTTTGCCTAGAGGTCCCCAATGACATCCGTCAAAAATACAAAATAGATAGGAAATATGAAGCTGCTTTTAAATGTAACTGCATCAGAGGTGTTAATCTGTTAAACATTAAGTCAGTAAAAAGTATTTTTAAATATCCATTTCAGGCATTTACATTGTCACATAATCCGCCATTCAAATCAAAAGTGCCATAAATTATTCCTGGCAACAAGATTGCCCTAAAAATAGATTGAATCTTCATATGATCATCTAAAAAACACATGGCTCATTGCCTCATGGTCCAGAACAGCAAAAGGGATGTTAAGGGGTTTGCTCTGCATGGCGCTGATATACAGCCCAGCATAAAGAAGTCATCACAAAGCAGAATGAACAGCAGAGGGATAGCCAGGAAAGCTGATCTGAAATTACCTCCTGATTCAAAGCCTTCTTAGCTAGCTCAAGGACACCCATTGCTTTTAGTGGATTCGAAGTCAAGATCCCAATGGGAGTAATAGCTCACCTTTTAAATTATTCCTAGAGCTCTGCTAAACCCAAAGATAGGTCTTAAGCCATGTAAGTCATATTAATGTTAATTAACATGATTTAATGTTAATGTTCCTCATGAAATGGATTTAAGTCTGTGAGTGACCATTCTCCACCTGCAGGCTGTTCCAAAGTCCCATGGCAACAATGCAAAAGCTTACTCTGGAAATTAAGAGGGCTGATGAGGCAAGGACGCAAGAGAGAGTTCTGTTTAGTGAAAAGACATTTGCTACACTTGTCCTAGACACTACTTCTCTGCAGAGGAAAAGTGTCTTGAACGGTTGACCCGCAAGTGCTCATGTGATCGAAGTTCAACAAACCTAATGTTCAAAAACTCAGAGCTTGTTTGAGAGAAGAACCGAACTTTCTTTTAACATAACATGTGCCAATAGATGTGAACTACTCAAGTATGAGGCTTAACAAAATGACAGACAGCCCTTTAACAAAAGCATCTTCAAAAGATGCCTTTAACGTACTACACCAGCTATCATTTGAATAATACCACAGTACAGAGGACAAGTCTTTCTCAGCATTGTATTTATAGGTTGCAATATATGCCCTTTCTTCATTCTCTACACCTTTAGTACGTGGCAAGACTGAACGAACAGGACTAGAGGAAAGCCTGCTTCCAATCAACAGAAATGGTCAAAGCAAAAGCAAGGCAAAACTGCTTAAGGAAATACAATCCTTAAGAGAGGGGGAGGTTTAAATCAAAACACAGTTCTGTGCTCAGTTTGTTAACCTCTTGAGCATATCAACAGTTTGGGTTTATCCTGACATTAATTAGAGGCAGAAAGACAGCCTGACTTCTAACTAAAGAGAGTAAGCCTTTTCGCACTTAACTAAAGCAGCCCTATATTTGAATTCTGTAGTTCTCAGATATCTCAATTTGTTCTTAAGAAAACAATGTATCAGTTTACTGTTTAAACCAAACAAACACCAAATAATTATTCATAAGCCTTAACAGCAAACAGAATATTTGTTTGCAACGTATTTGAAAGAGGTTCAAAATTGTTTTCTTAACTTATAATGTTAATGCTATTTTATTATCTGTTTATAAATGAACTGGTTTATGCAATTAACTTTCTAACTTTGTAAGTCAGACTGTAAATCAGAAACATCCAACTCTCCAAATACAGCAGAACCTCATTCATCTCAAGTGTCTCTTTTTCTAACTCAAATGAAATATTTCACTTTGATCACTGTTAATAGAAAAGACCTCGTACAAAAATGGAATGATTGCTATTACAAGATTCAGAATAAAACTCTAAAAATAGAAGCACATATATTAAAAACCAACATCAAAAAAGAATCCAGTAATGACATCTAATACGGGCGGGGGGGTGTGTTCATCTTTTACTGCTCACCATAATACATACTACGTTCCTGCATTGTGTTTAATGTTTGGAACATATTCTCCAAGGAGGCAGCATCAGCCTTTCAGGAAGACAATGCCTGTAACTTCATTAAAGATATAGCCAAATTACATAAACACTTCCAGTGTCTGCCACTGCCCCTCTCCCAAGGACAGGCAGCCTTTTGAGTTTAACAAGAAAATAAATGACACATAGGTCCTCTGTGCAATCCTTAAATGGACACTAACTTTTTGTCTCTCCAGGCCTGATTTTTCTTTTCAGGAGTGAAAGAAGTCAGTTTAGGTACAATTTGGCAAGAAAGAGGATCTTTCAATCCAAAATACAACCCGGTGATTTTTCACAAGTGTCTCACTTTCTGCTAATTATAACTGATTAGGTAAGGTATCTGTTACTTGTGAAGCCATTTTCATATATCTTGCTCCTTTTTGAATAAATTTCAGTATTTCACCTACAATATTGATACAGGTCACTAGTTCCATCACAAAAGAAAGGAAACACACTTTCACTGTTAAGCCCAAATCTTAGCTATAGGAAAACTAGTAGGTGGCAAGTCATTGATTTATTGTCTGTTGATTCACTTTATAAAAATCTTTGTTGAGGAAACCACGCTGGGGTTTGCAAAGAGACCAGAAGATGCAGATGATCCTTTAAATTGGATGAAGTACATGAGAGTGTGGACAAAAGCAGCTTTGTTACTCTCTTTTGCAGTTTGTACAACACAAGCTGAGGATGGGGATACCCCACAAGATTAGGACCTACATGCAAAGAAAATAAGACCCCAAAGAATCCTTGCTAAGTGTAGCAAGTATCCTGTAAAGCTTTCTCTAGGCATTGAGGAACTTGGCTTTGGTAATAATTCTTGTGAAAGAGGACTAGTGTATACTCTAAGTGGCTGGGAGAAAAAAGAAAACCAAAACCACAGGTTAAATTTCTCCTCTGCTTCTTTGGCTGACAGACTAGAAAATTTAACTAAAAATGACCATTAGAGAATTTCCTGTCCAGGGGCAGAAGTAGTGAAACATTTCATTTTGACATTTCTGTCATAAAATATTTCATAACGTGACTTTGACATGAAATTCGAACAGAAGTTCCAGTCCATGACAAAGTTCTAAATTGAATGCTTTTCTCTCAAAATGGGTTCCAAACTAGGTAAAAAAAAAAAACCCTAATTTGGTGTCCAGCTCTGATTAGGGAAAACATTTACACAAGTGTCTTTCACTAGCATGCAATATTCCTAAATCCCTATATACTTTTAAAGATCATTCCTTTAGATGTCTAAAGGTATATGCAGTCAATTAACTTAGCCTGACTATTTCCCACAAATTTCCATGCAATGCATTTAACAAAGAGCCATGTTAAAAAGTCTTACCTCAAAGTGCTAAAAATTCCTAATGGATCCTGTTTTTACAGTCTATCTGCACGTGAAGGCACACAGCACATTAACAGGACAGCAGAAGAAAGCTCTTCAGAAGTCGCTTGGCCCTGTGAGCAATCAATTAGAAAAACAGAAAACATATTGGGTCAAAGAAAGTGTGTTTGGGCAAGTGGAAAAAAATTCAGATAGAAAGGAGATAAATCATTCTAAATAATTACATATCATAAGATAGCTGTGCTATATCAGACCAAAGACCACTAGCCTGCTTTCAGCCAATAGCAAGTGCCGTGGAAAGAGTGTAAGAAGACGGCTGACAGTAACACATTCCTCTTAAACCCTTCTAGCTTCCAGTAATTTGCAACTTGGTGACTTCCTCAGCCAGGAGTGGTATCTTTGTGTTTAATAGCATTTGATGGATTCTATTCCAATAATTTGTCTAATCATTTTTGACCTGTTAAAATGTAAATTTCAATCCCATACACTTAAATTTTAGTGTCAACAACATCCTGCAATGGTCTTGCCTCTTAGCCACGTACCGTATGAAATACTTCCTTTGCTTTTCTGTCTGCCTCCTCAATTTCATTTGATGACTCCTTGCTCCTCTGTTAGAAATCAATCATTGATTCTCAGACTTTGTTTCCTATCATTTCCTATCATATAAACAACACTTTGTTTACATATAGACCTTTTCTTCTGTAACATCCCAACAAGAAAGTTCAGTTTCTTTCAGGAAGTTTCATGAAAGACATTGCAAAAGCCTTCTGGAAATCTAACTGGATCTTCTTGATCCACATATTTACTTCAAAGAGCTTTAACAATTTATGTATCAAGAGGTTCCCTAATTCTGTTCTTAATTATAGTTTCTACCAAATAGGAAAATCTAGGTGCATCAAAATTAAAATGCATTCTAGTATTTGTGTGTGAGCAATTGAGGAAAATGCAATAGAATAGTTAAGCCAGAAAACAAAAAGTTGGATTTCACTGAAGAAACATTAAAGTGACTGAGTGTTTGCTGATTACACTATTTTAGTCTCTAAGTAGTAGCAAGCTTCCAACAAGCTGCCCTCTGTGGCATTCCTCCTTCTCATCCCATCTGAAATTTTCATGATAGTTTAGGCAAGGGATCATTTAAACACACACTTCATTTGGCTCTACATCAGATTTTGTTAGAAACAAGCTGTTATGAAAGCTAAATGAGGCCATGAGTTTCAAAACTGATCAGGATTTTTGGATGCCTCCATTTATGATTAATAACTTGAGATACCATGAAAGGGCTGAATAAGACACAGAGCTCAGAATGCATGTTAAGAAACAGGTTGCTTTAATCTGGGCAGTCAAGAACTGAGCCACTCAAACTCACTAGTCACCTCTAAAAATTGTTACCAACAGAAATATTGCCAACGACAGGTTGTGGTTTTGTTTTATTTTTAATGAAAATTTAAAGCTGTCTTAAACAGATAAACATTTCCAAGAAGGATCAGGTACTGAATACAAAAGCACTGACAACGTGATTCTTATCATCCAAGCTCAGAGAAATTCAAGTGATTGAAGAACTAGCAGAAACACCAGACTGTGCACTGGGTTGCTGGGTTCCCTCTACCGACATCTTGCATGATTAATGTGACGAGACAGTAGACAAGAAGCTGCCTCTGTTAACAAAAGCCGATACTTCAGTTAACAGGGTCTATTTAAGCCTCTAGGAGTCATTGTACCGAGGGCAAATTATTATCCCTTACATGCAGGGCAAAACAACTGATCTGTAATTTGTGCTACAAAACCCATGCTGTCAGTCATACATTCAGCTTTCCCATGTTCTCCTTAAGCACTGCTCTCTTTAAGGTTTGTGAGCATCTCTGCCTGTGATTTCAAGAAGGCAGTTCAGTAGCTGGAAATACTTGGAGTAGACACAGAAGTCACTACTATTCACAAATGTCCCTGATACCATTTCCAGACATAAGTCTCCTGTCGCCTAGATGCGACACAGACAAAGGGACAAACCGAGCTGACCAGGACAGCACAACTGCTTTTGACTTTCAGCAGGTCTCCTTTGCAGTATCCTGTGAAGGCTCACAGGCTCAAGGCACAGGACCGGTTTGTATGGTTCAGTTCCTTGAAGTGGTCGATCCCAGCAGTGGCACAAGCTAGGAACAGACCAACAAGATGTACAAGACTAGGATCTTTCTTACCTTACACTTGAGATCATACAATGGAGACAAGCTTGTTCCAACTTTGTCCTTCTAGCCATAAGGGTCATGCCAATAAACATAAGCAGGAGCCTTAACTTTGCAGCATAAAAGTATTCTGTGCTCTGTATGAACGTTAACCATGCCCTTCTGCTGTTCAACCAAAGTTTATCGCTTAAGTTACAGTGATTGTTGGGAATGAAACAAACTAAACAATTCTATGGTATTTTCTGTAATTAACATGACTTGGGAAACAAAAGAATAAAAGCAAAATTTAGAGATTTTCACGGTTTATGGGGAAGTCATCAAGGAAAAGTATGAAGAGCTGCATGCTGAGTCCTGTTTGCTTAGTCTTAGCAGCAGCCACCTCTGCTACACCGTTCAGTGAAGTAGGTGCTGTTCAGTACAAACAAAGGAACTAATTCCATTTCCCAAGATGTAATTTTAGAGGCTTTCTTTCAAAGACTGGATAAATGCATCAGCACCCTAACTGCTAGAGTGGCCTCATGACTCTCCCTTATATTCTTTGAACCACAGTTCCTCAGTTCTCTAAAACTGGGTGGGGGGCTGATTTTAATGGGAATCAAATGTCCAAATCTCTTAAATCGCTTTAAATTTCTAAGCTCTAAAAGATATCAGTGTGAGTTGCAGTTGCTACAGCGTACATTGTTACAGTTCCATGGATATCTTATGAAGTCTGAAGATCTACTTCAGTGCTAAGCACTCTTATAAGCTGACTTCCACTGGAGTCATTGAGAGCTTGGCTAGGGCAAAGCAGGATTAAATAATGAAGCAAGTTCTTCTCGATCCATCAAACGTTATTTTTGGAAGCTCAGGATTGTTCCTTCAGTGCTCTCAGAGAAAAACTGGGTCAAAATACCACAGAGATGAGCCACCAGGCAAGCAATCTAGGCAATTAGTTTAGTTATGGCTGATGAAATGTGTTTATCAAGACAAAGGCTGGTGTAAGTGTCTAGGATTCAGAGGACCTGGGTTCCTATCACACTGTCAAAGACTTAAGGCCTGACACAGGGTTAGCAAAGCGGGCTAGAATGAGGTAGCTCAAATCCGACCCAAGTTCTGCATTTAGTATTTTCTGTAGCTTAGCTCTGAGCCTTCAGAGGCACCTAACCACCACACAACACCGGACTTTGAAACTTCAGGTGAAATTTAGGACATACAATTTCTCAAAATCTCCGTATCTTCCACAGCAAACGGGAAAAGGACTGACCAACCTGCCAGATACTTTAAGAATAGGCGTATTACAAACTGAAAAGTGATTAGTTACTGAAGCAACAATGTATAAACACATTTGGCATTATCCGTCCGCTCTATGAGATCAACATCGACACACAAAGAAATGCAGACACTTATTTTATCAGTACTTATGCAAACTCAATATCCATGCATGCCTGTGCTTTGTACAAGTACCAATCCAAAAAGCTGTTATTCATTACAATACTAAATTTCTTTTTCTTAAATAATTGAATAGTTATTCAATAGTCCAGCAGAAATATAATGAAAATATTACATTAACACCACCTAAAAACATTTCTGAAACTGTGCCCACATACAGATAAATGCTGGCTCCTTTTCAGAAAGGTCAGCTTGGAAAAAAATTATCTGTGATTTTCTGCCCATAATTTTGTACTTCTACTCAACTACCAGTGTAAAATTGGAAGCCAGCCCTTGAACAGTTGGCCCTTTAAGTTATTAATCCAAACTCAAGTCCACTGAAACGCTAGTGTTCCTTGTAGTGCCTAAGCCCTGAACTGATCTTCCACGCCCTGCCAGCCAGGACAGGGAGATGGCTGACATTCCACCGGCACTTTCTGCCAAAAGCAAGTTGGTGTTGGCAGGCTTCAAAGGCAAAATCCTGGTAACCTGCGGTATTTCAATGCAAGACAACCTCCTGCAAGCTCAGAAATCCTCCTGGGGCAGTCATCTCTGAATCCTCTCGGTTAAAGCATGGCAAACAAGGAAAGGCAGAAAGTGTCACTTTATGCATTTGCCTGCTTCACCCTCCTCCCCTGACCTCACCATCTGACTGTTGCGTAAGGGGATGGCAGAGGAAGCCAGCCAGTGGTATAGTGTCCCCCGTACTGATCCCAGTCTTCCTGCACAGTGGAATTTTAAAGCTGCTGAAACTGTGTGGGGAGTCACATTCTCTACTGATTTAACAGTATATTTATATTCACTATCCCATGCATATTTCAGATATTCCATCACATACATTACTTCAGAAGAGAAAGTAAGCTGACACACATCAAAAAGCTGATCTCCTGAGAACTCAAGTTAGCTTGCTTACATATAACCACCCACCTAATCCATGTTCAAGATGTCAAACAATTACAACATATGCTTCCTTAGACACTTAGAGCAACAAAGACCTTGTATCCCCAGAACACCCAGGATAAATAAAGCAACCTAAGTGTTACAGGCATGCCCAGATGAGGCATAATATGTTTCTAAGTATTTAGCTAAAAAACCCAACCATTTATTCCAACAGAATTTTTTTTACAGCATTTAAAGATTGTATGTGAAGTTGATCTGAAAATGGGAGTAACAAGCAATGAAGTATAAGGATACTCGATATACATGCAGTGAAATAAATTAAGTATGATTCTGTGAAAGTGCTGTGAAAGTCAGGAAAAAAAGCGCTGTTTGAAAATGCAGAATATCCTTTACGGTAATATTTTTTAAAATTACTTCTATTTGTCAAGAACAATTGGCCCTTTCTTTTTGTCTTCATTTATCTCAGAGGAAAATAAAATGAAACAAACAGCAAAAAAGTCCCAAGTACAGCGAACAGCTGAGCCAGGGACAAATTAAGTAACACAGATTGATGGCTGTTGATCTACAGCAGTACTATCACATCCCAGTGCTACATCTCATATTTCATTTAAAGACCTGTCTCTTCTTT